GTACATGAATGAAGAAAATCATTACAATATGCCACTACTCTCCTGAATTTCCTCCATTGTGTCAACACAAAAAATTAATTATTACTTACATTAATTATTACTTGCTGTCTCCTGTCAGCTTTAAATCAATAAAATGTGTAACAATACATAAGAACTCTGGATAAAAAAAAAGCATTTAGATTGACAAGTCTTCAGGTCTTTCTCTACTTGTATTTACCATCCCTGGTTGACACCAGGAGCCCCATTCCTACATACGGTGAAAACAGGAGATGTTTTCTCCAAAATGACCAATAACAATTGCTAAAAAAGTCTTGCAAAACTCCTCTTACACTAAGAGCCAGTGGCATTTACAGAAATCACAGAATCACAGAATGGTAGGGGTTCGAAGGGACCTCTGTGGGTCATCTAGTCCAACCCCCCTGCCGAAGCAGGCCTCACCAGGGCAGTGTAGAGGGGAAGGAGAACCTCCCTCGCCCTGCTGGCCACACTCTTCTTGATGCACCCCAGGATCCCATTGGCCTTCTTGGCAGCCAGGGCACACTGCTGGCTCATGATTAACCTGTCGTCCCCTAGCACTCCCAGGTCCCTCTCCACAGAGCTGCTCTCCAGCAGGTCCACCCCAAGCCTGTACTGGTGCCTGGGGTTGTTCCTCCCCAGGTGCAGGACCCTGCATTTGCCTTTGTTGAACCTCATCAGGTTCCTCTCTGCCCAACTTTCCAGCCTATCCCGGTCACGCTGGACCATGAATCGCACTGAATCTCCTATCTATAGATTTCAATGTTAAAAGTATGTTCTAAACCAAGAGTCATTTGCCTTTTCAGTAATAATACGAAGAGAAACGAAGAATGAAAAATGATGAAAGAATTTTCAAACCCAGGAAAACCCCCTAAATTAACACTCTTCAGTCTCAGTCATTGTGTTCCAGAGTTACATTATTTTACCTTGTCTTAAAAAAAAAGGTTCAAATTTCGAGTTTGCTTCAAATACCTTTATTAGACATATTGCCTTTTCTCCAGAGAAGTTAAATATGACTGCCTTATGACTTGTAGGTGGAAGCTTGTTTACTTAAATTACAAAAATTGCAAAGGAGACCAGCACCTTAAACAAAGAAATGTTCACATTTTATTTTAAAAACAAACATTACATAAAACAATACCGAGATTTTCAAGTTCTAAGCACTTTCTGGACCCTGCTGAGGCACACTCTGGAATGGCTCATTTTTACACACCCGACCTTCCTAATTCAGCTTCTGTCCTGGTTCTCTCCCTGCCCATCTCAGGCTGCTCCCTGCCACTGTTGCAGCCACGGGTGTTGAAAACGCCGCTGAACATCAGCACCATGTTAAGCTGTCTTCCCCTTGCTCCCACTCCCTCGAATGCCCTTCTCTCACAAGCATTCACAGCAGGCAGAAGGAATGCTATAGAAGCCATCACTTTGCCTCTCTAAAACCAAACGACAGCTTTTGGACGCGGCTTATCCTCCCCAGATAGACTAACCTGTATTCAGCATCAAATATTGTAAATATTGATGCACACAGCTACACAACACTGTGTGGAACTGTGCTTCTAGGTAACAGGTCCATCAGTACTTGTTTGGCTATCAAGCTTTATACTAGAAACTTGCAAAGATCGGGAGAGCGGATTCAACACTCCCCTTCAGAACTGATAATAAAATACTTTCTAAAAGACTATTTGGAGCGAGGCATTCTTTTTGCTAGTACTCTTTGAGCACAGCAGCAAATTTCTCAACACAGAACTACCTAATGTTTCCAGAAAACAGACGCTGAGGAGGTACCATGTTACTTAGCTTTGCTTGAACGCGAAAGCTGACAATCTGACATTTGTAGATTGATCCAAAGGCTTTGGTTTTTTGGATAAACTGGAGTCCTCCGATTTTTGCTCCTGATTCTTTTTCGCTTCATCTTCATCACCTGTGGGACGCTTTCGTTTTTTGTCTTCTGTTAAATCATTAGCTGTTCCTGCTTTTGCCTTCTCAGTCCACGCCTTTGAAGAAAGCACATCATTAAACAGAAAACTACAGATTATTCCACAAAACTCACCACTTAATTTTACACATCTTCTTTCTCTAAGAAAGCACTGAAATAATTCCTGTTAAGAACTAACAAGGATCAAGTTAGGAACAATTTCCTCACTTTCCTTTTTTGTAACAGCATTCTCCTTCAAAACTATACTTCATTTGAGCCTGTATGTGAAACTGAAGCTCTTCATTGTCTTTCTGGACAAATATGAAACTCAAAACGCCTCAGGACAAATTTAAGCCCCAATGAATTCAGCCTGGGTATGTCACTTATAACTCCATCGCTTCTCTTTTGTTATTTCTTCATTGATTAAGTTTCTCTCACTTTGGAAAAAGCTGCTTTCCACTTTTAACTATTATTCAGACAATTTCTATTTTCATAAAGAATGTGTCGTACATTATGGTCCAATTCAAAACTGAAGTCCATGAAGACGGACAACACTGGAATTCAAAGAAAAAACTCTTAACCAAAAATAACAAGGGATTCTCAAAAAAAACAGAATTAGAGAATGTGTTCTTACCATTCTTTCTTCTGACGACAGCATTCTAAATCGACTCATACCTTCTTTTATTACTTCTGCTTCGTTCAGATCAGGATTATCCGTCAAAATGTTTGCTCTGTTCTCTTCGAGCCACATCTGGAATCCTGTCTTTGGTCTAAAGCGAGCACACAAAAAATGTCCGTCTAAGGAGGTTATAGCAAAACCATTTCCCCCAAACCAACACTTCTAAACAACACCTAACTGGACTTTTTTGTTCTTGAAAGAAAAGACATATATATGAGTCAGCAGTTTGCTTTCTCCTATTCCAGTATGCTTACAGAACATGCTGACAAGGCAAGACTAAATCAAGCATTTTTGTTAAAACTGTGATATATACAGAGATTGACATTTTGGTTTTAGAATGACAAAGCATAATGGTTCTCTTTTCTGACAAAGTCCCATCAACCTAAAAATAGAGCACATATATCAGCATGTTTCAGCTAATCCTTTTCACAATTCTTGCCACTTGTTTCAGAACATTACCTGTAAAGGTTAATGAAAAGAATGCTAGTCCAAATGAATAGTAATTACATTCATCTTCCTCAGTTAAACAAAGTCTAAATGAGACATGATTATAATAATGCAAGTTTCATGAGGACGGGGATTGTTCAAAAATACATCTGCTCCAGAGGAACAAGACAGATTAGAGTCTTAGCTAGGAAGAGACGTGATCCTGAGGTGATACAAGATTATTGTTTGTTTTCTTTTTTTAAAAAAATGCTACAATAAAGCTTTTACACATTCACGTAAAACCCTTAGCTTTTAGACTTCCTTTGAGATTTGCTAGAGATGTTTAAAATTTAACTATTTCCTGTACTTGGAACTGGCACAGCAGCACGGTTTCATCATTCACAGGTCATTATCAGATGCATAAGTAGTACCATGACAAAAATCGTTGCTTAAGAGCCCCAAAATTACATTTTGTTTGCATTGTTTATTTATTGTTCACTCACACATGTCTTCGTCTCAGGCCGATGCCAAACTTCCACTTTGAGTAACACTGCCACGCACGCTGTGAAAGATGTAATGAACCGAACGCTTTTCTCTGTTCTTTCACCGTCACCGTCACGTGGCAGTCTGGAAACCCACCCGGTGTGCTGGACGCAGGTTGGTTTGATAACGCACACAGCATGAGCAGCAGCTTACTGAATTTCTGAAGCAAGTTCACAAATGTGGCAACTTGTGAGCTAAGACTTTAATCTTGATGTCCTGCTACTTCAGCCAGTCCAACATCTTCAGAACCAAAAAGAGTTTTTGGACTTGTTCTGTCAAAATTGGACTAGGGCACTGAGATGGAAGTGCCCACTCACCTTCTGTTTTCTGTGTTCTCCTGTGCAGTGACTTTGACTTCATGGGACTCATTTCCTGCTTTTTCTTCTCTTTCTTCCACTGTTTTTTCACTAGAGTTAGGTGTACGAACCTGGAAGAAGGAGGCTGCTAAAGCCTGTAGAAATTGAGTTTTAAATTATAAAAAAAAAAAAAAGGTAAGAACATCTCACTCTCAGACAACATATACCATACAGCCTAACAAAAAACAAGCCTTTCCTAAAGGCATAATAATCACTTGCATTAATGCAGCATCTAAGCCATCCAGTTTCAGCACAGCAGACATTTAGTTAACACTATTTAAAATAAAAGCACAAGATTCAGTGCAGAATGTAATTGCTACAACTGATTTTTTTTTCTGTTTTATGTCCTTTTACAGGTTCTGCAGTATGCTTAAATGAACTTTGCCACCTAAGATGCTTTACTCAGTCAACAGGGTTTCATATTTCAAAAAAGCTGCCAAAATTCAATTTACTGTTCTTTGCTCAGTGAAACAACGTAAAACGTCTAGAAACATTACCTGCTTGGTCTTGGGTTTGGGAATCAGAGGCTTTATAACTGCAGGGTTCTGCTTGTTCACAGCTCGACTGCTAGACAAAGAAGTTTTCTTGGAGTATTTGCTCATAGTGTCCAGAACATTTGCTGAGGGGACCACTGGGTCCTTTTTGTTAGATGACACCTAGCAAAACAAACAAGTAGACATTTTATTTATTTTCTGTCATATTCCCCTCCTCTGTCCCTCCAAAATATCTGTCATAGTTACACTGCAAACTTTGGATACAATAATCTGTTGTGATTTTCAGAACAACACAGTCAAACAAGCTGCAAAATTCTTACCTTAAAGGGATTCACTCGTCCTTGGCTGCTTGATGCAATTACAGCTATATAATAGGAAAGAAAAAAGAATGTAAAAATGTGTGTCTGTACACAATGCACACGTTTTAGATGAGTACATGAAACAACATTTGCCTCATTTCCAAAGAGCAAGGCTAACACTCCTTTTGTGTGTTTCAGCCTCTGTTCATTGAAAATTGAGGAGGAGAACTAAGTCAAAGGCACCAACTATTCCACACCAAAGCAAACAAGTTCCCACCAGGCTTCAAAGCAGTCGGATAAAGAGAAAGACACTTTAATAACCACATGAAGGTTTTACTATACATGCTCAGCTATTATTAGTCATCAGAAACGCCACACAGGAGCAACAGCCTGAAATACAAACCCACAGGAAGACCCAGTACTTCCTCCACTCCCAAATCCGTTTCCACTCCTATTATTCTTGCTGGAGGGTTGGCAGAAGGGAAGCAGCAAGAAGCAGCAAGAGGTCACATTCTGTCCCTGCCTGCTCAGCCTCACAGATCTACAGCAGGGTTACGCCTTGTAAATGCAATCAATAAATGTGCCTGTGATTAGTAAAACAAATCAATTTATCATTGTTCTCATTTTTCCCCTGTCCCAAAGAACGCCTTCACGACACAGCCAGGCAGAGAGCTGATTCAGCATTTGGCACAGCTAAGGCAGTCAGCGTAGTGTTATGGAACATCATTAGGCAATGAAGACATCAACAGGAGCAGGGAACCTCTTTACAATGTGAGAGCAATAATCAGTGCAAGTTACCACGTGGCAACACTGTTACACACTAAATTTTCATAGCAATGGCAGGATAAAAACAGGAGTAGGTATTGCAAAGCATGACAAAGTTATCAGCCTGGAATAAATGGAGATTTACTCACCAGACTTCGGAGTAGCCACCTCTGCTGAAGTGACACCTTTGGAGAAAGGGTTTGGCCCTGCAGAACAAAGAAAGAGACACGTATTTAAGTGCAATAAAATGTAATAGCATAACTTCTTAAAGAACAAAATCCCAAACAGACAAGCAAGTTATAGTAAAGCAATCGATATTTTAAAGCATGATTCTCATTTTCAAATTGTACACACACTTCTACAAAACCATCTGTTACATTATAATGTGCACTGGCAGCCCCAGCCGTGCCCTGGGCTGCATCCCCAGCAGCGTGGGCACAGGGATTCTGCCCCTCTGCCCCGCTCTGCTGAGACCCCCCAGGAGCCCTGCGTCCAGCTCTGGAGCCCTCAGCACAGGACAGAGCTGGAGCTGTGGGAGCGGGGCCAGAGGAGGCCCCAGCAATGATCCAAGGGCTGGAACCCCTCTACTGGGAGGACAGGCTGGGAGAGCTGGGGATGTTCAGCCCAAGAGAGAAGAGAAGAGAGAAGAGAGGCTCCGGGGAGTCCTTATTGTGGCCTTCCAGTACTTAAAAGGGGCTTATAAGAAAGATGGGGACAGGCTTTGTTGTGACAGGACAAGGGGTAATGGTTCTAAATTAAAAGAGGGTAGATTTAGGCTGGCTATAAGGAAGAAATTCTATACTATGAGGGTGGTGAGGTCCTGGCCCAGGTTGCCCAGAGAGGTGGTCAATGCCTCATCCCTGGAAACATTCAAGGCCAGGCCGGACAGGGCTCTAAGCACCCTGATCCAGGTGAAGATGTCCCTGCTCACTGCAGGGGGGTTGGACTAGATGGCCTTGAAAGGTATGTTCCAACCCAAACTATTTTATGATCTTTACCTACATTTAGCTTAAAGAGTTGTATACTTATTCCCTAAACTTTACACTTTTTTCTTAAAAGTGTGCCCAGCTAACTACTTGTCTATCAGTTCAGCTCCTGCAAGATCTGAGCTGAAACCAAAGTAACCGTTTCACAAAGTGACCCAGTCTGTTTGCAACAGCATCAGACCACCAAAAAACTCCCCAAAGGTCCCTCAGTTACTAAGTACAGTGGAGGAGCAAGATGCTACAGAGCAGATGACATACGCTCAACTTGTTACTGTGCAGCGACTGCAGGCACCAGCTGGAATACGGACCCGCTTGCTCAGGGAGGTACTCATCTCCCGTTGCTCAGTGAAACCATTGGGTTTATTTTCTATTTAAATAACTGGTTTCTAAATCAAACCTGCACCTCACTTGTGGTGCCTCTTGACAGGTCCTCTGCCTGTCTTTCCTAACTTTTATGTCAAAAGAACAAAACGAAACAATAGACAGAAAACCCCATTGTTTGCATATTCCTATAGACTGCCAAGTTGTCCAAACTACAAAATATCTGGGATTTTTCCAGAACTCCTTATTAAGTCTGTGAAAGACACATCTAGATAACTTCCAGTCTATTCAGAGAATACATTTTTCTCACTCTGTTTATGCACTTCTGGTGTTGCCTCTGCTTCCTCGCAGGCATCAGTTTCCTCAGCATCTTCCATTTCTTGGTTCTGCCGAACATTTCTGACCGGCAGCCGACTCCATTCCGTGGCAGAGCTGCTATAACTAAAAGGAAGGAATTCATCGGAAAGGAAGCGCTCACCATATTCAGACGCAAAACTGGAACAAAGGAAGGCTAACTTACGTACTTAATTTAGGAAATAAGAACAATACCATTTGGCATTTATTTCCATTATACCTCTGATTAAACTGTGATTACTAAAAATAAAATAAAACTCATTAACCACTCCGGTCCACCCTGAAACACCAAGTGCAGTTGCCTGAAGTGGTACTCCTGTACTTCTAAGAAAGACCACACACAGCTATGAAACTGCCCGAAATCACACTCAGCTGACAGCACGGGCGCTGGCCTTCCAACAGCTCCGCGCACACGAGCAAGCCCCCAAACAGGAACAGCGATCTTTTGCCACCTTCAGAGCACATCATTATTGCTGCCAGAACACTCTGCTGCAAGTACAAACACAAACATAAAACATCTTCCGTAATCCCCCTTAAAACACATATACCGCCAATATCATAAATAATACCAGGTTACTTTGCTGCATATATGAATGAATACACAGGTGTAACACGGCTGCATATTTTCAGCCTGAAGTTCACGAAGCGAGTTTAAGTGTTTAATCTGATTATTCTCTAAATTCCCAATAATAGTAGGCACATTTCTTGCATTTCCTTCCTACTCTTTGCTGATGACTAAAATCGGTGTGTACATACACTAAAGGTTCATTTCTTTCAACCAGAATGTGAGTATTCGATTAGCCTGGCACTAAGAACAACATAGTGCTTGCGATGAATTTTAACCCTCTGAGTGGCTGAAGTCGCAGGCATCGGATTGCAGCTCCCACACACGATCCAGAAGAACAAAGCAGAGCACTCAGAAAGGAGTTTTCAATCAGCAGTTTCACACAGAACAATAAGGAAAAGGCTACAGGTAAGTTCAAGGACTTAACACTTCCTCTCGCTTAAGTAAGTTCCAAACTGCACACACAAAATGGCTATAGGAAGACACTGCTGCTGACAAAACGTTCTGACATTTTTTCTGCACTACCTGACTGCAGGTTAGCAACTATTTTCCTCACAGCTGTACCATCCAGAGGCCAGGCAAGAACCCAGCTCTTCTGCAGGGTCTAGGTTTTAAAAAACCACACATATCTTTTGCCTCATCTGCTTTACAAAGCAGATGCAGGTAGGAGAGGAAAGGTAGACAGCACAGATACAGAGGGAAAAATGCAAAGCAATCCTGCAGTATTTCCATAGCTTTGAAGAGATGGGATTAGTTAGTAGGGAATAAGACTAAATAGGATACACCGAGGTGGGATACGAAGAGGGGAACGCTGGAGAAAGGGAGAAGGATTTTAAGACCGGCGTGGAATGAACTGAGATAGAGAGACTGAGACGAAGAGGAAAAAAAAAATAGGTTGGAGTCAAATAACCAAAGCAGCACAAACTATTGGAAGGGGAAGAAAAAAAAAACAAAAAGGAAAAAAAATCCAATTGGAGTAACTTGTCTGCTTTGCCTCCGAAGCTGTTGTACACAGACACACAGTAAGCAAGCTGCAGAGACATTTCTCTCTGTGTTAGCATCCTGGTACTGAGGAGTCCTCACAAGCTCCAGCAAGCACGTACCATTTTCTACGTAGAGTTTGAGAGCAGAGCCGCACAAGCTGTTACTTCACAACAAACACGTTGCAAACTATCGTCCAGAACAGCACAAGTGCATCAACTGGACCGAAATGTTAACAGATCAGTAAAAAAGTTCCCAGGTTTTTAATCACAGAAATTTCTGTTACCCAGCATTCAAATGCTTTTGGAAATCCTCTTCCTCCTCTTCATCTTCCGCTCCTGTTGCCAACTCACTTGCTTTCTCGACAGCCATTTCACTAAGTCGCTGAGCTAAATTTAGCCTTCGAGAGCGAGAAGCGTACTTGACAGCTAAATTCACAACGTTTTGTGTCATGAGGTCAGCAAGTTCCACACAACGAAATTCACGCTCCAATTTACAAGAAAGCTGAAAGAAAAGCAGCCTTGAGTTACAGACTTCACAGTTACACAGCGCTCTCAAGACTCCAGGACCAGAACATTATGGTCTTGGTGGGGTGAATGAAGAAAGACAAACCATCAACAATCCTAAGCTGCATGGCAAAGAAAAAGCTTTTTTTTTTTTCTTCCTTCCTTCTTCGTCCCACCCTTCATACTGATAAGCAGTAACAATAGTAACTGCAGCCCACCTCTTACCGTAGTCTGTGAAGCTGCTGGATTGCCAGTCACCAGCCAGACAATAAGCAGAACCACATCAAAATTTACATCAAACGCCGTCTACTCAAAATAAAGTCTCAGGGATTCTTTCTGTTTTTTATTTACTCATACTTACGGCAAACAGCTTCATTAAAAGCTCTTGCTGTTCTTTCACTGACTGACTTTTAGCATTTTCATCAAGTTCATAGCCATTTTTGGATAAGTAATCCACATGGTTGTGAAATACAACAGAACGCCAGTACTGTTCCTGTAAAAGGGAGAAAGACACATGCTGGAGCTCAGAGGAGAAAAAACAGCCCACAATTTAACACCTAACAATTTGCAACTTCTTTTGTCAACTTATTCTTAACTGTTCCTTTCATTGTACAATGAGTGTGAGGGGTTGACAATTCTCTTTAAAACCCAACGCCTACTGAGGAAAAAATACACCACGCTAACAGCCATCCATATACAAACTGATCCAAACGGTCGCCATGTATGTTAAATTCCATTTATATTACAGGCTTTCAGCAGGGCAAGACCTACATGGTCACCAGTTTGCTACCAGGACAGACAATTCTAGAACAGATTGGTTATTTCATCTTCTAACGTCTGTCCCACAGCAAATTGGAAGTATTCCAGAATAACTCAGTAACTGTACGAGTAACCATCATCTGCGAGACAGGTAAATGGAAAATATAACTCCTGCTGTTCAAGGAAATATTAGTATGGCTATTAGTGTTATAAAATAATTATGAACATATTGAAAACCAGTATGCTTTCATCAGCTGTACTGGAATAATCTGCTGCTTTACCTACACAGAAGTACGTGTTCCTTCAAGTAAATTAACAGTTCCTGGCGGTTCCCTTCTACTATTCTGAGGTGGTTGTGTGTGGAAGACATACCCCATCAAATAAGGAACAAAAAGCCTTGAACCGAATGAAGGAGAACTCATTAAAAATGATAAAGTTTTTATTACTGAAAATTTTTATCTACACTTCTATCAAAGCGAATAAATTTAAAATACCATTAAACTGTCTCTAAGGTTGACGTTAGAATTTTCTGTTCTTTTCTACTTCGTGCACTACAGCTGAATCCCACAACACTGAAATATTTAAACCTACAAAAAAATTGCAGAGTAAATACAGATACTCTTCTAGAAGTTCTCTCCAGGTACATCTTGCTTCAACCAACCTCTACCATAATAAACTAAGTCAAACCTGAAGACCTATGTTTTCAGAATGGTTATGTGAATTGGACCACTTGGTACATCTTTCAAAACAACATCTTCCAGAAATTCTGTTATGCCTAAAATGTTAAAAACCAGGCACCTTCAAGAGGGTTCTGGCTCGGATCCCAAAATGTGATGCTTCCTAGAACATTACTCACTAAAAAAATATAAAAAGAGAGGGATAGAAAGACTTCACTGGTCAGAAGCAGATGATGTGTAAACCACCTCGCATCAGCTCTAAAAGCTTTATTTTGTATTCTTCTAGAAACAGCTGTGAACCAAACCGGAAAAGCTATACAAAACACTGAACCCATCCTCAGCCACTGTCTCCCTCGGAGTTTGTACCACCCTCTTTCGTAGCAGAGGTGATTCATGGGAATCTTGTATAATCCCTACTACGGCGACATCCGAGACACCCAGCTGTGGGCTCAACACCATTCCATACCTCCATCTGTCCCTTTTCTGTTGTAACTTGACAGTAAGGAAGTTTAAAAGATAATATTGCTACAGCAGGCCGTGGGAGCGTAGGAGGGAATCGAGCTCCTTTACAAGGAATACACCTGTGCAAGGGAAACAAGACACACAGAACCCTCATCACCTACAGCCACCAGTTGTTCTACATCTAAATCATGTCTCCTAAGAAGCGAGATACTTTAAGAGGATTTGTTCTTTAAAAAGTAGTAATTAAATTACTGACTTCAATACAGCAACATGTCAGATTGCATTATAAAGGGTTATTCTTACATTGGAACCAATAGAAGATTTTAAAACCAGCAAAGCACATTCTGGTGTTCACACCAGAAACTCCAAACGTGGCACATAACAGACACAGATCTCCATCTCACACAATACGCGATTCAACAGCTATTCCAAAATGTAAATGCAACGTATTAAAATCAGAAACTACTGAACAACTGCAGGCCACTGGAACAAGAGCAGGCACGTCCACCATTTATTTTGACACAGGGTTTTGCACTTCATGAGGAGAGTGCCGTGGTCAGACACACACACGGAGGGAGTCCACCATTTATTTTGACACAGGGTTTTGGACTTCATGAGGAGAGTGCCATGGTCAGACACACACACACGGAGGAGGGGGAAGCAGGGTGAAACAGATAAGCATATACTAAAAGGCTTACTGTTTCATTCTATTTAAATTAGTACTTCCTGGTAACAATGACCTAAGCAAAATATTGATTGGGGAAGAGCTGTATTTCCAGGAGCACCAATGCAGCATTGACAAAAATGTCTGGTTTTATTAGCTACCGTTTCAGACACCAGGGAAAAAAAGAACAGGAAGCCTTAATGTTCTGGCTATCTGTGCTAATTGAGGCATGTGGTGTTTCGACAACCACCCTCCCTCCTCCTTATCTTTAATATGCTAGTGGCTTTGAATAAAGTGTTCTTTGCAACTCAGAGAGTAGTGTGCTCTTTCTTGGAGTAAGAAGGAAAAAAACTCATGGTGACAGACTCATAGTTGACCATCCCATCACTGTGATGTGTGCTGCACATTTCTGGTGAATTTTCTAGAGGCCAACATTACTTCATGATTTGGAGGAAGAAACAGACAGTAAATTGACACTGACCAGTGACATCACATTATTTCCCTTATTAAAAAAAAAAGCAGAGGATTACAAAGAATGTTACATAAATTTAAATGCAGTCTCCCTCCAACCTTTACAATTGTGCATGACTAGCAAAGTAAAAAGCCCAAATTGCAGTAAAGTGTGTGAGCTGATGGATTCTGCCCTGGTAGGAAAAGGACACAGAACAGTGAATAAAGAGGACTACAAACAAAGCTGAGCAACTAAACGTCCAGGCTGCATGTCCCAATAAGGAGAAGCAGAGTTATTTAGACATCACCAGTATCACATTTTATCAAGTAATGGCTAACTCTCTGCTCAATATTCAAGCAATTTTATGTAAAAAAAATGTTCTTCGTGGCCACAGTTTAAATATTAATATAAGAACAGGCAGTTCTGATTTATCTATGCCTAATGATGTAGGTTAGTTATAGGATTGGATTCTTCTTAAAGAGACAAAAGGGGAAAACATATGGAAAAAAATTAAACAAAACAAAACAAACCCCCAAAAACCAGCAACAGCAGAAGCAGATTCCTAACAGCAACCGTAACATTTTAGTAGATCTCTCTAGCCAGATGTAGTCTGATGACTGTGGCTGCATCAGAGATCTGCGATTTCATAATAAAGTGCACACTCCTGTTAGCCAAGACAAAAAGCCACAACTGGTCGCCAATAATAAAACTCTATAAAATTTATTCAAAATCCATTTAGTAATGAAACATCCACGCAGAACTAAATTTACGACCCAGATCATTTACTGTGCGTATTTACTAGCCACCTCTTTTAGTAAAAGTTGTTTCCAGTTTCTCTTAGTAAGAGGTGCTCAGTAAACTAAACCCCGAACAAACAAAGCACTTCCTTGTGAAATATCTGACCTGAGCTGCTGGGGATTTTCATGGATGCCCACTACCCAGTAATGATCAGATTTTCCTTTGCAATGCTCTCTCATGTTACACACTGGAATCCAAGTATTCCCAAGTCCTCGGTTCAACATCCGCACAATTCCCTCAGAATCCACGTAACAAGGGGTACCTGTTTGTTACAAATGAAAACAATTATTCTGACGGGCAGCTGACGACAACGTGAGTAAGTTTGAACTGGTGGATACCGCTGGGAAACGATGGTTTACGTGTCTCATGTGCGACATCCTCTCACCCAAACAGTATCAGCTAGCTGGGAAAAACGAGATTCCTTAGAAAGATGCGCCACCTTCTGACAGCCAGACTACTGCTAGGTAACCAACTCCAGTAACTACCCAAGTAGTATGAATTTCATGATCAAATTCATACTACTTGGGTAGATTCCCAGGGAAAATGAGCTATTTCACACTTATGCTTTCTGGTTATCATAAAAACGCCTCCCAAGCTACCAGCTGGGATGGGGGGCTTTGCCAAGATAGTTGAACACGCCTGTTAGGGTGTACTAATGCAGTTTATTTCTTTTTGCTGAGCCAGGAAAACAAGTTCTGACAATATTCAAGTGTATTCTATTCATAGTAGAAATATATTAAAGATTTCTGATAAATATATTGAAAGAATAGAAAAACAGAATTTCTTTTAGAATTGAGAAGATTGGAGAAAAAAGTCTAAGTCCCAAGATCACCATTACTAAAAGGGCATTAATTAGCCAAACTCTCCTTCAGAATTCCTCCAACAGTGTCAAGATTTCTCAGTGTCACTCACGTAGTTATTTCATACCTTCTGCCGAGAATCCAACCCATACCAAATAGGATCTCTTTGTCAGAGAAAGAGGGTCTCCTTGCAAAATTTGTTTTTTCTTTTTCCCTAGCTCCATCAGCTGTACTCCGAGGCACTGATCCCCATCAAAACCAGTACCTAGGGAGAAGTTGTTCAAGCACTATGTTAGAAAACAAAACAAATGCCTCATCTCTTGGCTAAATTTAAGTTTTGAATCAAAAACTAATTCTAATGCAGAGTTATCCATGAATACCACTGTCAGACAAGCAACTGTCGTTTTTGCTGTACAAAGTACGCATAACTACTTCCTTAATTTCCTACAGTAATTCATTCTGGCATATCTGAAACCCAAGTTTAATCTATTAATGTCACTGTTATAAAATCCTCCCCGGCCCCACAGGTTAATCTAGTCATCCCAATATAACATGTGGGCTTTGCTGTCAGATCTCAAAGGTTTGTGGGTTGTGACAATAAAGCATCGTCAAAAGAAGGACAAGCATCATCAAGAAGAAAAGAAGAAAGAAAAGAAGAAGGGTAAGTAAAATACTTCTGGTGATTACATACAAATCAACCTGTGTTTAAAGCCAGTAAGAGATGCAGACTGAAAACATAACCCTAGCTCAAAAAAGACAAAAAGGGAGAAACTACCTCTGTGATAAATGATCATCAGCTGTTCTCCATGTCCTGCCATGGACACCACTGGACCTGGGAGACTGAAGATCTCTCTCTGAACTCCTCCAACCGTAAACACACGAACTAGCAAGGCACTAGTAGCACAGGCAGCCCAGCCTTGACCCAGGCAGATTGCCTCAACGTCTTCATCCTTCGGCATATCTACTGTCCACTCCTTGTTTGCATCCCATGAACTAAAATGGACGCAGTGGAGCTTGCTAAAGCAGAGACAAAGAGCAATAGTCAAATATCTCAACGTGAAGAAAAACACAATATCTGAAAACACACCAATCTATCGCGTTTTTATCAGAGACCTAGAATCTGTGAGGGTCGTAGAAAGAAACTACAAATTACAACTGGTCATTTGCAGAGGTGTTACTTTTATTATTCAAGAACTGCAGAGCCAGCTCCACCTACAGCACTGTAGATTCAGCGCCTCTGAAGCAGAGACAGTTTAGAGGTCTGAGTGGAGATCTTTTAGATGGAAGCAGGTAAGTGCCCTGTTCATTTAATGTTAATAAGAACTGAAGGTACTCAGTATCCCAGAATATCAGCCCTCATTACAAGTCTGTCATATTATGCTATCTTTCAAAGGGAAAAATAATTTAGGAACTTCAGTTCTGCCATCTTAATAATTGAAAACTGCTGTGACCAATTCACAGACACCACAGCTTTTGATAGATTACTCACTTCCATTGAGAAAAAAAATTGAAATTTTCAGATACAGACAACCAATACATACAAATAATATTTTGAAAGGTAAAGGGTGTTTTTCAACTTATCACAATGCTGTATGTGTGAAAATCAGTTATTTCTTCAAGATTTTTCCACAGAAACCAGCAGTAAAATATTGTTGCTATTGTTCTTAAACGCAAGAGTCTAGCTGGCCCAGCTGCTTAAATCTTCCTGTGATTTTCACAAACTTGTGTTCTTCACACTTGTAATTCTTTGGGTATCTCCAAACATGTCTCCTTAGCAACAGTATGAAGAAAAAATTGCATAGCCCTTACAATTTATCTTTGATCTGAGGAGACTGAAAAACTGTTGTTCATGTTTACAGTTTCCTTTGGGCTAGCAATGCCCAATTGCTATTGAATGAAGTCTCCAGGATATGTATTTGAAAAAGGGGTTAAAAAAAAAAAGTCATCGGGAAACAAAAATACATCTTTTGATATTCTTGAAGTCTTCAAGTGAGTAGATGTGAAAATCCTCCTCAAAAGCAGTCTCATGAATAAAAAGCACGATCAGAAGCCAAAAAAAAAATCTCTAAAAAGTGACAGAAGCTGAAATTAAAAGCCAAAATATTTGGAACAAGGTAAGCATAATTCCACACTACGGGTTTTGCAGAGCAAGGCCATGACTTACCTTGCAAGTTCCTCCGTACTCTCACAGGCTAGTAAAACAGCTTCGGTAGAGAGGTCAGCCATCGTGTGATTCAGAGAGTTTGGCAGGTGTGTTGCGTGATGTATGGAGGTGTCATGAAATTCTATATCTATAGCGTTGTCTTGCTCATCATTGTAACAGCGAATGATGCCAACAGAATTCCATACCTATTAAAAAGAACACCACCTCAAAAAAAACCCCAAACCAAATCAAGCATACTGCCCTGAAACAGACTGCTATAACTTTCGCATCTGACACAACAGTAGGTGGGAGGCTGGAGGAAGGCTGAAGACTTCTGTAGTCAGGACTTGTAGTATCTAAACCAGCTGAATTAGGCAGAAACTAGTTTCATCCTCATTACGCAGCCATCTTTCTCCTTACAAAATTACGTGTGAAGAGCTTGCAGTTACAAATAAATAGTGGGTGATTAATGTACAGGTCCTAACAGCACAAAAATATCCACAACTTCTGGCTAAAAAAGAAATTTTAAAAAGATTTGTTAGAATTCAATAGCACAGGTATAAACTGTATAGCTTGCTTTTGTCTTAAAGCCAAGTATTTATTTCTACATCAAAAGCAACCAAAGTATAAAGCTTAACATGCAGTCTTTGCATTAACACAAAGCTACTTTCCACAATTTAGCTTCACGCTGTGAATTATTAAGAAAAAAAAAAATCTAAAATCTTGGAAAAGAATAGATTAAGACACAACAAAAACCGGACAATATTAACCAAGAAGCCACATCTACACAACCACATAGCAGTGAGATTTACCATGAAACGATGCATGAGATGTACAGGAGTGGAGCCAGACTGGAATGGCTTTTGCCTGGGGGTTGGCATTGGCCCATCATAGAGAGGCTGCTGTATAGATGATGGTAAAGCTGGAACGCCACCAGTCTGATCATCATCATCATCTTCCTTTTCAAGAAGACTGGAACTAGCTTTTATCATCCCAATATCTAGAAGTTTAAAAAAAAAAATTACATCTTACACATATTATTATAGGTAAAAAAAATTTTAAAAGTCAAGATTTCTCTGGAAAAATAAGACAGAATCTATCTGAGTAGAGGATGCTAAGAGATCGTCAGCACCAAAGAGCTCTGGAAAATTAGTTCAATCTGTACCTAGTGAGTTATCATCATCATCAATTATTGCCCGTCTCGGATAGCCTGAAGTTGGCACAATGTCATCACCATCACCATCATCTTCACTAGCTCCAGCCTTTGGGGAAGACTGTGGTTCAATCATATCTTCATTTAAATAGTCATCGTCTTCTCCATCAAAGAGATCATTGTAGTCTTTTGCCACTGTACTGGCAACCTAAAACAAGGTTAGCAATTATCATCAAACTTCTTCTGGACATGGAATTCAAAGAACGAATCAACGCACAAGAGGGAACTTCCAACACGCTATACAGAATGTTCACTAAAATTTGGTAATCTAAATAATCATGTTAATTTAAGAAATAATCAGTACTGATCACCTTGTCATTTGGTTTCTTTCCATCACCAATATTTTCCAACAACCCCAGATTTCCTTCAGTATCTGTATAAGCAATTTGCCTATATTTGGGGTGCCATGCCAGTCCACAAACTGAGTAATTCTTCTCATGTTTCATCCTAAAAAGAACATAAAAATAATGCATTTTTACTAAACTTCTCAGGGCAGAAACCTCCCCACGAGTTACTGTAAAAAGTGATAGTATTTACTAGTATTAGAAAGTGATGTTACAGTGATGTTACACATAATGAAATAATAGGTTACCTTTTAAATAAACATAGGTTACCTTTAAATAAACAGCTACTATAAAAAAAAATACAGCAGGTCTTACTTTTCTATGGAGGAAATCATTTAAACTTTGAAAATCAAACAGAATCATATTCTTAAAATAACAGCTTCCTCGTACATGTAGAAAAGACAAAGTAATTCCCCAGCATTCATACATTCCAGAACCATCCAGTTATAAAAAGAACATTCAGTTGTTTCTCTTGTACCAAACTGATGAGTTAATCCTCTATCTTTTCCACTCTTTCTTCTCACAAAAAATCCTCCAATTATTTACATAATCTGCCTTTAATTCTTAACATAGGGGTTATAGTAACAATCCTGCTTCTTACCCAAAATATTCAGACAGATAAATCATCTCTTCTCTTCTTTCCCACCTCACTTAATCATATCTCTTTTTTTTTCCTTTTTTTTTTTTTTTTTTTTTTGGGCTTTTTTTTTTTTTTTTTAATAGAGCGATGTTTTAACTAACCAAGATAGAGTGTAATTTGCCAGTTTGTCCTTTTTTGCCTACATGTGAGGATGGCTGACCGACGTACCTCTATTTCCCTCTCCCTTTAGAAAATCCATCTTAGTGCCAATTACTTTTGGGATGTGAGGAAAATTTGTTTCCATCAAAACTATGCTTTAATCAACTATTAGGTTAAAACATAGTAAAAGCTATTTGCACACAGAAAACTAGACTACGGAATTTGGACAAAGTCCACATCATAGAATCATAGGTTGGAAAAGACCTCTAAGATGATCAAGTCCAACCATCTGCCCAACACCACCGTGTCTGCTAAACCATGTCCTGAAGTGCCACATCTACACGGTTTTTAAACCCCTCCAGGGATGGGGACTCCACCACTGCCCTGGGCAGCCTGGTCCAATGCCTGACCACTCTTTCAGCAAAGACACTTTTCCTAATATCTAATCTAAACCTCCCCTGATGCAACTTGAGGCCATTGCTTCTCGTCCTATCGCTGGTTACCTGGGAGAAGAGACCAACACCCACCTCACTACACCCTCCTTTCAGGTAGCTGTAGAGAGCGATAAGGTCCCTCCTCAGCCTCCTCTTCTCCAGACTAAACAGCCCCAGCTCCCTCAGCTGCTCCTCATAAGACTTGTTCTCCAGACCCCTCACCAGCCTCTCTATCCTTCATGTCCCTTCCCTATTCTATTTCTAAGAATATACTGTTTCCAGATCCTTCTAGCTATGCAGAAATGAAAACAGCACACCACATGAATCAGAACATAATTCTGCGCATACTGGATATGGGGAGGGAAGGCAAAACAATGCCACGTTCCTACCCACTACCAAGAGTTATACTCTCGTGGAAGCTGCTTACTTGTACAACACGGAAATGACAAGGCAGCCCTTGAATTCTGTTCAGCAGATGAACTGCAGTATTACTGCACCTCCCCTGGGTGCACAAGAGAAGAGCCCTTCTCTTGCTCCCTTTGCCAGAAAACTTCTGGATTTTCCCTGTAAATCTTTTTAAGGTTTTTCAAGAGGCAGAGTTCTACACTTGCACCAAGTAAGTTTTACAGAAGAGATAACAAAATTCTGTTTCAAGAAAAAACATGTACTTTGGGATTAATGGAACAACTCTGAATACCTCTCCATGCATTCCTGGGTTTCCGCATTCCACACCACTATACACCCATCCACACTTCCAGCTGCCAGATACTGCCCACATGGTGACCAGGCCACAACATTCAAGGCCTAAGGAAAATATAAAAAAATAGGGGGAAAACAAAATATTACCAATGCACATACAGCATTCATATTCTGGAGCTTAAAACAGACAGATATGCTGGAAAAAAAAGTAATAATAATCATCTTTAGCAAATCAGATCCAGCCTCCTGTACTACAGCTGGCTTTAGGTAGTTCCCTGCAAGAACCATTCTCTACAGACAGCACACTTTTCTTTTTTGAGAATATCCATCTTCTGTCATTAAACACTGCCATAAGGTCAAACAAAGCCTGATTCTAGACATGCAGATAGAAGCATACCAGGTTTTGCAAACTCAGCATTAAAAATAGCTTTATTTATTTTGATCTTAATACAGTTCCATAAATTAAAATGCAAAACTGTGTGTTCCATATCTTAATAACACCAGAAAAGCGGTCCTTTTTAACCCAAAAGGTTTCCAAGTATCTAATGAGATCAAAAGAAAGTAGTCCCAACTGTGCCATGTTCTACACAGCTAAATTACAGCTTAATAAAATATAAAGTGAACAACTGATATCTCTGCTCTGTGCAGAATGATACTCTTGACATTTTCCCTAAAAAGCTATGTATTTAGAGCAATTTGTGAAAACAGATGTTCTTCAGCTGCCGTTGGTGACTCACCAGCAGACCTCAGAGATCTAGTCGGCTACTACAAACGGAAGAGGGGAACCAGAGCCACACAAAGACATGGTCGACACTCATCTAGTATTTCTTGCTTTGTTTTCCAACATAAAGTAACAGGATAGGACATGGGATAATGGCTTCAAACTGAAAGAGGGCAGATTTAGATGAGATATAAGGAAGAAATTCTTCACCGTGAGGGTGGTGAGGCCTTGGCCCAGGTTGCCCAGAGAAGCTGTGGCTGCCCCCTCCCTGGCAGTGCTCAAGGCCAGGCTGGACGGGGCTTTGAGCACCCTGGGCTGGTGGAAGATGTCCCTGCTGATGGCAGGGGGGTTGGAACCAGATGAGCTTTAAGGTCCCTTCCAATCCAAACCACTCTATGATTCTAGGATCAGAAAATGTGAGCAATTGTTACCAAGGGGGGCTCAGGGGAAGAGATACTGTACATAGGATAATTTCCAGCAGAGCAATATTTAAATTACAGAAGATTTAGCAAGCACCTTGTTTATGCACCTACCTGTGTGATGAACGTATCTGATAGGTCAGACTGACTATCCCACGTTTCTCTTCTGTAGAGTTTAACAACTTTATCTACAGGAATTGCCAGCAACTGTTCAAAGGAAACAAGAATCAGACCATCTAGAACAAGTTACCTTTCAAACAGAACATTCACATACCATAGCTCCTTCATTCAGAAGTATTACAGTTGTGACTGCCTCAGTATTTAACGGTTCTCTAGCATCCCAGCAATGCCAACAGAGAAAGTAAAGAAAGCTGAAGTAACTTGAATGACAAGATTCTTCAATGCGTTCCACATGCAGCACAGCAAAACATGCCTGGTTTTGTTTTAATCTTTATTTCCTTCTGGCAGAAAACTGAAGACAATGATAGATGCACCGTCAGGTTATAAGTTCTTTTTTATGAAACAGCTAACACACACATATAAGTAGTTTGCAATGCTCAGAGCACAAGGCTTATGTTCTGCTTTTCCCTCCCTCCCCAAACCTCTTTTGATCAGGTTACAGTTTCTCAACAAATCTTATCTGAATAGCTGATTCCTGAAATAGTTCTTTTCCTCTCCCACAAAACTACATGTTACTGCCTGCTTATTTTTTTAGGATTTAGATTTTGTTTAAAGACTTCTAACAATTTGCTCTGTATGAGAAGACTACTGCTTACATTTCAAATGCATGTATGTGTGAAGAATTAGCCTAAAAATTAGAGTATTGTTTTTATGCAATACGGATATTGAAAAAATTTGTACTGCAGCTGACATTCTCTGTTCCACAGAAAAGTTATGCACAGTGCCATCATAGCATCCAGGTATTTTGAAGAGTGGACATGGGTAGACAGACACAAAGGTTAAGTTGCGGAGACAGAAGATTATTCAGGTAAGAACTGTGAGAAAACAACTGGAAAATACTCTTTAGATCCAGTATAGTGGAATGTCAATAAAGGATGAGCAGGTTCTGGCACACTATTGTCGCAGGCAAGAACAGAAGCCATAAAACAGTTTTTCCAAGTAGCCAGCTTCCGCGCAGCTCGCTGTCCTTTACTTGAAGCAGGACAGGGCATGCCTCATTTCATACAGGTTCGCGTTTATCCGCTCCTTCCTCCTGTCCCCTTTGCATTGCCAGATGCTGCAGAGCTGTTCTAGGTTACACGCTGCAGAGACACCCATACAGCTCTCTCAGCTCCCCAACCCACTCAGATTCGTGATCCACACGTGGTACCACTGCAGCAGCACACACACAATGCTCGAGACCTGTAGCAGGTATCAGCCCCACCTTTAGTCACAGCAGAACCCAGTTCGCTCTTCC